GTTGCATAATCTGTGGATTTTATTTTTTTCCCCCTGTAGCGCCTAACCCGCCCGGGCCAGCTGTCTATGAAAATGTTCCGGATAATGGCATTCGTGAGATATCGTGAACTTGAAGCTGGAGTTGCCGGCTGAGTGTTCATCCTTGTCTGGCGGGCAGGGCCCGGGATGTGGCTACGTTCTCGTTCCGTCTGATCACAGTATATCGGCTCCAAATTATTGCACCCACGAGTCTCTTCCTATAAGAAAGCACCGCAGACCAAACGGCGTTCCTCGGTTATGTCTCCTAAAGATATCGATCCTCGGTGAGGGAATCTATCGGTCTCGGTGGGCGGTGGCTTACACCGAGATATCAAACCTCACCGACAATTGTACAGGGCTTGCTGACTTTCCTAGCATAAATTGGTCCAAGCTCGGCACAGTGGACTGGTGCACGATTAATGCCGCGCATCTGACTTATGCCGTTGTGCAGAACCACGCTTCGGTTCCTGTCATGATTGTCATCTCAAATTATGCAGAGAGGTCCCCCACGCGCCCCCACGAATCCTTGGACAGCCGTGGACCTTGGGTGCAAGTGCATCAATAGGACTGAGGCAACGATACCGCGCATACCATGGCAGCTCAATCCCATCATCTCCTCGTGTTGAGTCTCACCGCACTACTTGCCTTGGAGCTTTCATGGGTGTACTCTAAAGACATGTTTTGCGAGCGCAAGTATGCTTGCCATCCGATACCTGAGATGCAACCTTGATTGGTCGCATTGCTGGTGTTGGTGGTGACTTTGTTGTAAGATCGCAGTAGTTGAACATGCCTCGCAATCTCACTGACCATCAATTTCAACTCATTCTCTTGAATTTCTAAGCACAGAATTTCTTCTCACTAGAGGAGAGTACAAGCATCCTCTGCCAACCTCCCCGTCTTCTTACTTCTGGCATTGACCCTGCGTGGACTTGACTGCAAGAAAATCAAAGTCTACAAGTCTTTGCAGAGTCTTTTGCAACTCCAACATTTATGTTACCCAGCATAAGTGAGCCAGGGATTGACTCAACTCTATGTGTACTTCTGGGGACTGGACAAATTCATAATAGGAGTAGGGACTCTGTCTTCATCAGGATCTTAGTGGCCATACTGACATTCGAGTTTCTTTTTGCGACTCAATCTGAGCCTTCTCTGAGCCTCGATGAAAACCTAGCTTTTGCGCGGCACATATCACTCAAGTTTCGATGAGAACCCTGTTGATATGGTCCAATTGCTCGTACCAGGTGCATGCGAGTTCCCACCCTGCTTTCCCATGGCGCTTGCCTAGCTTACACCTGGTGAACATTTCATCGATCTTTAGGGTAGATCATGCGGTGACCTCGACGAGAAGGGTGTCAGGAATAAATCTGCTGATGGCGTTGATATCTCGCCTAGATTACGGCATCTTCAACCCTGTCAACTTCTTCAAGCAATGGGGTGACGTGAACAACTTCCGACGAGCGATGCGTTTGAGCTTGCAATCGAGACCTTCTCAGGTCTTGCCCGGCTACCGTTCTCTCACTCACACTGCCCATACTTTCGGGTAAGGACTTCCTCAAAAACGTTCGACGGACTTCATCTCATCCAAGCAGTTGATAGCGTAACGGGATTCTCAATCTTCACCAACCAGATTGTTTGGGTACCATGCTTTTTTTTTATTATCAAGAACGACGGTTAAAAAGCGTAGAACGGACCCTTTAGCTCAACTAAGAGCTAAACAAAGCTGAATTTGTACGTAGAAGAGAATCAGGTTGCACCGCAGCTATGCGCTCTATCACACTCAAATCTCACAGCGGAGCCGTGTTCCAAGTCGCTGCCTCTATTCTTCCTTCTCTCCAATCCTCTCGATGCCATAAGGGCTATCAATTGTAGGTCGGTTCCACACCGTTGATTTCCGCAAAGGGATCCCAGTCAGCAGCATGAGGAACAAACTCCATGATTCTGGCAACCTTGGTTGCCAACTCCTCGCCATACACCTGCTTGATGAACTCCATAGTCAAGTCCAGACCAGAGGTAACCTATCCCGCACATCAGTCAGTACAATTCTTCTCGATTTCCTCCAACAACTCTCCCACTTTTCTCTCGCAAAAAGGGGATCAAATAGTAAAACATCAAAAAAGTAACTTACACCCGAAGAAGTCCAGACGTTCCCATCAACAACATACCTCGCCGGCGAAACCCACTTCGCCAGCGGCGCCTGCGCAGTAATCAACCCCCAAGCCGCTTTATTCGTCGTAACCCTCCTGCCGTCCAGCGCGCCCGCCCTAGCAGCGAGACTGGCCCCCGTGCAAATCGTAACGAGATACTTGACCCTGGGCGCGTGCTTCCTCACGTACTCAACAATCGGCTCCAGCCCGGGGGCCCGCACGCCCGGTCCGCCGGGCACGATGAGCACGTCGAGGTCCAGGTCGTCGTCAAAGGTGTTGGTGGGCTGGAACGTCGGCCACCAGGACGAGTTGTAGGTGTTGGAACTGGGGGACACGGGCGCCGTGGTGACGGGGTCGAGGGTGGCGGCGATGAGGTGGAGGTTCACGTGTCGGTTGTAGGCTACGAGCTGGAGGGCGTCGATTGGGCCGACGAGGTCTAGCATTTCCATTGCCTGGAAGAGAACCGCGCCAAAGGTTACGGGGAGGGTCGTTGTGTTTGCGGCGATGCTGCGGGTGTTGGGCGTGCTGTGGGAGGGGGTGGTTCCTGCGATGAGGGCGGCGGCGGCGGCGGCGGCTGAGGCCGCGGTGGCGAGGAGGGAGAGACGCATTGTGAGATTTGTGATTTTTGGCAGCGCGGCTCAGCTCTGCTGTTGAGGTTGGAGGAAGGAGATTGCGTGAGATGTGAGGTCGAGATTGGAGTTTCTCGATGAAGAAACAAAAGCGAGAGAGAGATGTGAACGAGTGAATGGAAAGTCCGAGAATGTAACCCCAGGAACAGGGAGTGCTGGCTGCTTCAACATGATTCAGCAATCAGAGCAGGTGCTGTATAAACATATATACATGAATATCCCACCGGGAATCTTGGTCATGATCACGAACATTCCGGGGGTGGCATGAACGCAACTAAATGACACAGGCCATCAACACCAACTATTGTAATTCCGAGCCACCAGGAGGTCTTGGACTTGGTTGGAAGCATTCTGATCCCGAAGGAACGGCCGGGCCGGGACGAGATGCAAGCAAGGGGAGTAAAGCTTGCCAATATAGACTGAACATCCATCTTGAGCTATCTTTCACCAGAAAGGGGCACGTCACGACGGGGACTCTGCTTTATCAGTTGCGATAGGAAGACTTTGACAAGCTGTTTGTGGCAAGTGGATACTTTGATTATCTTGGAGCATTTTAGAGTTTTCGCTGTTCTTGGTTGATTCTCTTGGCCCTTGTCTGTTTTTCTTTCCTTCCCTTTAATATGAGTGATTTGATCCTGGTTGGATGCCACTGGAAGTCATTGATTGACTGGCTCCTTAGACAAAGAAACCAAGCGTGGAAGGTCACCCTGTTAGCAGAGACAATGGTTGGCACAACTGCAGAAGAGGATATTGTTGTTGAAAGGGGGTGCCATTGCGGCGGAGAAGCCTCCGGTTCTGCGTAAGAGCGTTGTTTACCAAGCTTTTCCCGTTTAATATCGGTTGGCGACGCCCATTGGTTCTTTGACTAATGTGTTGCGGTGAGAGGTCCCAACCGTCAAGACTTGGGATATGTTGGCTTTCAGTACTCTGTATTTCTTTGACAAAAGCAGCTTGTCAAAGGCGATGCTAGAGTTTCGCCGCAAGTCGTCGGTCCCGGTCACCACTCCTTCTCTCGCAGTCGATTGGGATCCTGGTAAAAGGGTTACGCCAAGCCGAATGTTCAGACCGAGGTAAACGATCGGTGGGAGGACAAACCCCCGGGACGCCGGAGTTGATCCCTGGATTGCCCCGCTCCAGGCGTATCCCCGAAACTCAACTCAACTCCGGGCCGAAGGCGGATGGTCGCCGGCCATGGAATTTGGTGGTCCCGAGTTTCTATGAACTCACCGTGTTACGTAAATAGGTCGGCTCGGGTGTTTATCATTTCTCTATCTTAGGAGTGCATTTGATACTTCCCTTCGATGCAGAGTCACTGGACAATGTCCCTGAGGAAATGAAGTAGTCGGCCATCTCAAGTGACAACATTTCATCAATCAGGGTAATCGAAGTCGTCTTTCTGGATCTGAAGTTTTTCCATCTTGATTAGGAAATTGCTACGAGGAACGCCCTCCTTCAGGACTTTCATAGCAGCTTTGGTGTTACATTTCACGACATGCATAACCAAATTACGAGCGCAAGACTGTCTTGGAGGTGGTATCTCATAGGATAGCTACATAGTATTCTTTAGGCTCTCCTATGAATGCGTCCCCAGCACATGGCATCAATAGTGAGGGTGTTGTAGGTAAAGTTTACCGTCGAAATCACACTGTCGGAGAATTACCTATTCGTTTATAGGTAGAAAAAGGAACCTGGCTCTCATCCTACGATAGGTCACGACACAGGGTTTGGTATGGCTGTGCGATAGATCTACCAAGCTATGCTTGGATGTCCGTCGTTGGTGGCATCCGAGTGCATTCCAATGCGTCAGTTTGAAGACCAACAAACGGGCACGAAGTGGCATGGCGGCGGAAAGCTACACTAGAGGGTCAAGTCCGCTATGGATATCTCACACTTGATTCGCATTTCTCGTCTCTCGCTGAGTTACGGTACTAACATGTACTGAGTAGCAGAAAGCATGCCATGGCATCTTTCTGCATTTCTTGTTCTACTACAACAAACTACCAAACGCTCTAACACTAGAAGCCATTCGCTCCGCCCCAGCCTCATTATTGTAACAGAAAGAGTACAAGTATGAAAAGTGTACCCAGAATCTAACCCATCTTCAGTATCTCTATTCAAAACACTCGTTTTTGGTCCCCGTATAAGGAACCCCCTAACCGACGCTGAGACGCGTGTACTCCCTCAGCCAAAAACACAATCTCTCTCTTTTCTAGTTGCGCAAGACCATTCCCAATACACCGCCCAGCACGCCGCGTACGCGGGCCTGGTTCTCATGGATACAAGTGAAAACAACAGCCGTGCTGGCGGCAAAGACGAGCGTCTCCCTCCACTGCTTTTCCATGCCGTACCGCCGAGGCAGCAGCGTCGCCATGGCCCGCGGGGCGACGAACAGCGCCATGTCCTTGCGACGACTGGCGGACTCGACGAGGACGCTCCAGCCGCAGAGGCAGCACCCCGTGCGGACGCAGATCCCCGAGTCCATCCTTTGCCTCGCGGCCAGGTCCTTGCCGAGGATGTGAGGCCCAATTCTGGTACGGGCGAGACAGACACCGTAATAGAACAAAGTGATGTACGCTCCCAAAAACGCCGCCGACCTCGACGATGATAGCAAGGTCCGCAGAAGGGTCTTCTTGTTGATAGGCCCCCGAAGAAGAAGCGCGATGCTCAGGGGTAGATACATGGCCATGGACCACTTCCACGACCGATAGAAGCGGCTGATGGCATGGAGCTCGCATGATGGGCCGCAGCCCATGTGCACCATCTCGCACGGAATGGGAATTGACTTTGACGGATCGCCCCATTCATTCGGCCATCCGTATTTCTCGCACATGCCCTGCAGCAATTCTGCCTGTCCACTTTGACCATAGGACATGTCGTTGGCACGGAGCTTCTGGAGGGCCTCGATCAGCCGCATGTCGACGTTTGCCGCCGAACTGATCCACTTGTTGTAGCCGCTGGGGAGTCTTTCGGGGTGGTAAAACCATGCCCACATGATGAAAGCACACGAAGTAACGAACAAGCAAGGGTCGGTGAACCTGCCGACGATCCATTCAGCCTGTATGAAGTTAGTGGCGATGATAAGAAATAAAAGTCAAGATGGGGTGCTTGCTGCATACCTTGGTCCAACTGCCTTGGGCTACACGCCGCGCTCGCCTTCGCGCCCAAACTTCACCAACAAGAACGTCCAGGGCTCTCGTCAATGTGAATAACGTCAAGTCAAGAGTCCGTCCTGCATACCGGGTCTCCTTCAGCTGAGCTCCAGGCGGGCTATCAGATTTCTCAGAGGAACTGCCTGTAAAGGCCGAGCTCTTCTTGGACTGCAAAAGCTGCAGACTGAACCAAGCGGCAATAAATGTGGCGCTCCATCTTGCGAGTCTAGATGTGTGTTAGTACGGGTCGGTTGCGAACGACAAGAGAATGGAGGATCAGATCCCGCTCACCTAATCCGTATCACCTCTGTGAGGCCTTTGGCATGGCGTTCAAATAGACGTCGAAGTGGCTCCTATCATAACGTGTTAGGTCTATTAGGCAAGTTGTTGTAGTTGCAGTAACTGGAACTCCAGTTCGCCTTTCTGAGCTTGCAAACGTTGTTTATCTGGAACTAATGCAAGGAACAAGAACTTGTGTGCAACTAGGAGAGGAGCCAGTGCAACTCTGAGGTCTCCATCACCATGTGCACTGGATGCCTAGTTCACAGTACTTGAACCCAAGTGAAGCAACCACAGCTCATGTCCCGGGAAGTACAAGTGTTGAATACTTCACGCTGAAAGAGATGTACATACCTCTAAAAGTGTACTGCCACCAACAAGCAAGGCACAGAAGGTTGGAAACCGTTGGGGATCTAGACCGGCGAGGACTATCCGCCTCAGTTGCGCCACAAACCCGATGCACCCGTTCTCCTTTGCAATTTGGCGGCGTTTTTTGGTAAGGTATTGCATCAGCAACGTAAGGACTCTCGGAGCAACAGCGGAAGCATATCCTAGGAGGTAGGCCCGAAGGAGGGGCCGTAGGATTGGCGGAATTGCTTGCAACTCGACAAGGCCATTCCGGCGAATTTGCAGCTGACTCCGAGGTAGCATTGCAGAGAGCGAAGGTGTGACGGCAGCCATGAGGCTTCGGCGTCAGTGCCGGTAGTTGAACTGGAAACGGTTCCTGAGCAGAAAATCAGCGATCCGCATAAGAGCCGGAAGCGATGTGTCTGTGCACATTCGGATATGTTATGATGTAACCGTACAATGGCGTGAGGTTTGAATTGGTAGGCTGCTCGTCAAAACTGAGTTCAGCAGAGGGGAATTGGGAAACGAAGGATGTGGCTGGAGACATGGGTTGTTGCTCTAAGCAGACAAGGTGAAGGACCGGCGAAAGTGTGATGATCGGGAGGGGCGTAACGACAGCTGAACCGTGGTAAGGCATGAGTTACGTTAGGTAATAGGAGTGAAGCGGCAAGCGGACTGGCCATCCGCACCGCCTAGAGAGTATGAATCATGTCGAGAATTGAAAGACCAACCAGACAATGACAGGTATTTGGTTATGAGGAACAAGGTTCGGGATTGCCCGGCCCATCTTCACTAGAAGCTGGCCATATACCTCGGATGCCAATCAAACAAGCTGCAGGAAAGCAGTCTAGGCATGTAGGTATCCTTAGACCTTTGAAGAACAACGGGATAACGCGTAATGAAGATGGCGAACTAGTGGGCGCGTCTTACCAGGGGGTTATTGATCAACTTGCTCTTCTGAAGGCTCGTGATGGTCGTTACTCCAGAGTCAACAGCCAACCCGTAGCGCCTAGGGCAGGGCTGGAGCTGTGCTCAATAGCGAAAGTATCGCGTACCTTGCGTGTTAAGAGACGAAGGGGACGGGAATGAAATAAGGAATTGTGGGGTAATGGTGCGACCCACGACGTGATGGAGGGCCTGGGGTAGGATGAGCGACGTAGGTTGTGCAGTAGGTGCAGATGGAGACCAGGGGCAAGTCAATGGTGAGGCCGAAGGAAATGTGACCATTGGGTTCCTCGGCACGGTCGAGAGACTCGAGAGAGGAGGGTATGGTAGGGAGAAAGGTACGGAATACGGTACGCATAGGAGGAGAGGTCGGATCTGGCAAACGTGACCGAAGCGCAGATTACCGCCACAGCTAGCAAGATTGGCGAATGTGATTGGTTGCAGGATTAAGTGTTTCGATTAGCTGGTCTGGCACGCGGAGAAACTGAGCTTCACAGTTCACCTTGGCGGCCAGGAAGAAACGGGAGTGAACATTCAGCGTTCAGCCAAGCCAGATGGGGCTTAGGCGCGGCAACCCATGCGAGTGCGACGGTGCTGAAGAAGAAGAGACTTCTATCAAAGTCTGGAGTCTGTCTGGAGAAAAACCTGAAGGGAACGGCGTTTTGCGTTGGCTCGGTAGTGGTAAACGGCGTTGAACAGGGAATACCTTGCTAGCCTTGCTCGAGAAGTCTTGTCCTTGCGAGTTGCGGGACGCTTCGGGCGTGGAGGATTTCGATCAGTGCGATCGACCGGCCGTCAAGAATCTCGGCGCTTGCTCCTAGTTCTCGAACGATGAATACTTGGTAGACAGGGAGACACAAGAGGTCGATGGTTGACTGGTTGGCTGGTGGGAAAACCACAGACAGACAGGCTGGGACAGCCAGCCGTTTCGTATCAACCGAGGCTGTGTTTGCTTCCTTTGTCTCGCCGTGTCAAGAACCGTTCAGGGTCTGTGAGGTGGCTTAGTGGGATCTGTCGGCGCTGCCTTGGGTGCTGAGCAGGGACTTGTGGACAGCCGTCAAAATTCCAAAGGATTTGATGTAAGAGGTATCCGGGTGGATAGAACAAACAGTGCGGCAAGTGTCGATGTGACAGCGTTAATTGAGATACCGAGACTGAAAGACACAAACGGGATGAAGACGTGTTACAGATGCGGTTCCAGGCGACAGATGGAAGCAACGAGTTTGGCCGAACGATGAGGCCAGACTTGAGAGTCAACGGGAATAAGACAGGGTATATCGAAGCAAAAGCTGAGGAACTTTCAGAACATGTCGAGTGGGTGCGAACGTAGAACCGTAGAACCTCTTTGCAAAGCTAGGTGCCCCAAACTGAGAAGAGGTGAGGTACCCAGGTGTGTGAAAATGCTGGGAAAAGCTTAGGAAGGTTGATGATGCGGAGCACGGGTGCACGGATACAGGTACAATGTACATTTACGAGAGGCCAAGCCTAGAATGGGATAGTGTAAGGTAATTCCTGGGGCAGGGAGAACGTGAAGATGACTGACAGCGCTGGACAGCGGGAGGGGGGGATGAGATTGGGGATGAGAGAGAACTGAGAGGGGGTGAGCTCCGAGCTGGCATGTGATGACCCGCTAGGGACATAAGCCCGTTAGCATCGAAAACTGGCATCGACCCACCCAGCTACCATAAGCAGTCAGGCACCAAGCTAACGAGAAGGTTGAGAAGAGCTTAGCAAACCAATGAAAACTGATTCAATTTCTTGATGGTCCACCTGCTGACCGCTATTCGTGTGACCCGAGCCCGCCAGAAAGAGGTGCCTCAGCCTTTAGGTACACAGTAATGCAGTAATGTGAAGTAGGTACCTTCCATAGTGCACTAAGGTGGATGCTTAGCTAAGGCATAAGCGCAATCGCACCGTTTCAACGATATAGCTCGGCTTGTCTCATGTCCGCATGGCTCCGATCCAAGATCCGGCGCCTTATCCAATCAGTCTTTCGTCCTTGTTCAGATGTTGGGCAAGATACCTACCTACCTACCTAATCTTGGGACCATCCATGGCATCCTCATCCGTAAGAAACTGGGCAAAGGTAGCAATGGGAAAATTAGGCCGGCTCGAGCCCTGCCCTGCCCTGCCTTGCCTGCTTCCAATTCCATTGCTGCTGGCCGACCGGCCTAACCTGTCCACTGTCCGTTGACTGCTGCCACTAAGGTAAGTGCGGAGGCTTGCAGCGCGCGATGCAGGTGACCGTGCCGGCAACCCACCCACACCTCACACCCCACCCCTGCCTGCAACTTGCGACTTTGCCCTCCCTGATCCCTCTTCCTAAGTTCCTCCACCTCTACCTCAATCCTCACTATTCGTACTCAGAGAGTCAGAGTCTCTGACCTCTCTCTTCTACCTTACCAAGTACTCCGTACACTCACTAGCACTCAACCACCCTGGTCAACAACAGGGGTCGCACTTTGGCTGTTTGGTGCCCCAGACCTTTCATTCTTTTCGAGTCCTTGATTTCCTGCTCGTCACTCACTTTCCCCGGCCGAAAAAAATCACGGGGTCCTTGAGCCCTCGTTCTCGCTGCACCGTACAGTACCAGAGAGTACCGTGTCCGTCACCTCACGCCCGCGTCCTACTATACGCCTACGACCACGTCCGCTTCCTCTTCCCATCTGTCTTACTTGCCTTAGCTTACGTCTGGCCATCTCCCTGAGCTGATTGGGGGTTCGTTTCACCTCACCCGTTGCTATTCCTCGCTATCCGTTTGGGCGCGCGCTCTCTCTCAGATATGCAAGTACACGGTTGAGCCAACCTCAACATCAAGCCAAAGCAACAGCTTCGTCCACGTTGGTCCAGAGTCTATCTACCTCACAGTCCAATGCTTCGAATGGGCCTCGCGCTCGCATCCCATCTTGGACAAACACACATACCCTCGCCGTCTCTTGGCTCGACACCGTACGTCTACGCAGTAGAGTCCACTCAGACTCTGCTTCTGCCGTTCGACAAGTCTCAAGGGTCTCTTTCTTCTTCTTAGCCCTGCATGGGCCGCATTAACGTCCGCCATACGGGGTAGACCTTGGATCCTCTTCAACTGGGAGCTCTCCATCTCACCATCGAGAACGTAGCACTGCTTGACGCGCCGCTCTACCTTAGTACACCACTCCGCCGCCATCCCACACGCTGCCCCCCAGCTCCGCTTACCCTCCCCGACTTCACTTCACCTCACCTTGTCCTGCCTTACCTTACACGGCACCCGTCCCGCCTTTTGCCTCACGCTCATCATCGCCATCCATCCTTTCTCCCCCCCTCACCCCCCGCTCATCGGACGAGACGACGGCGAAGAGAACCTCCTTCTAGCACTTGGGATCCAGAAGCCCAGTGCGGTGCCTAAGCGCAGCCACCACCCCACCTCCGCCTCGACGTAACCTGCCAGCCTCTACTTCGGTCTCTTCCTGCTCTGCCACGGCGCACACCTAAAGGCGGCAAATACACCCACCAACCTCTCCAGACTCCTATCAAACGACACCATAGCGGTGACTGCTTCCATAATAACAATCAGCCACCCCGCCAAATCACAAGGCAATCAAGCGACTGGCCGATAACTTATTCGAGACCTCTCCACCGCATGCCCTCTCCCAGCCAGACGAGCCTCTCGTACAGACGCGCTGCGCTGCGCTTCTGATAGACACGTCCCGCCCCTCCGTCAATGATTCATAGGATATCGATTTGCCCATAGGAATGCGCATGCCCTCCTTCGAG